ATAATTTTTTTGAATCTATAGAATTAGTGAACAGAATTGAATTTATTCATATAGTTGATATATTGTAAGAAATGTTCTTAAGAAGATTGAATATTGATATTTGTGTTTATGTAATTGTCATTGCAATAAGCCAAGTGAAGTCCAATTTTGGATTCACCAGCTACTAACGAAGCTCATCTTCTCCTTTATTATGCAAACTACTTTAGTTTTACATAATTTGTAGTACTTAGGTAGAATATATAATAAAATATAGATATACAAAAAAGTAAGCCAATTTGCATTTAAGATTTTTAGTTCTAGCTTTGTATATATTGTAATTGAGATTCGTAAAAATAGTGTCTATTTGTAGTTCAAACAAACTATAGTATCATTGTCCCCACATTAAGCATTAATTAATTCTCTGCTATTTGATTCAATGCATATGATCTTAATCATTAAAGAGATTTTTCCAACATTATGATATCAATGAATCAATAAGCCAATGTTATATTGTAGCAATATATAAGCAGAATACAGGTCATGGCCTTCTTTCGTTTGCACCAAATACTTAGCTAGCGATTGCAAACTAAGTGGAGAAAATTTGTTGCTCTTCTTCACAATAGTATAATTTAGGGGTGTCAATTTCTTGGGATCCAGGTCGATTGAGTCGAATCTGGACTGACACAGATTCAAACTGTCGAGTCTTACCCCGAACCCGGGTAGTTAACGGGCTGAAAATGCGAATCGGACCTGACCGACGGGTTGTCGAGGTTGACCCGACCCGACCCCGGGAAGGCATAGGTTACGATGTGATACTAATGTTTCTCAAAATCAATTTGGATTCATGTCGGGTAAATCTACTATTGAAGCTATATATTTATTGAGAGGTTTGATGGAAAAGTTTAGAGAGAAGAAGAAAGATCTATATATGATATTTATTGATTTAGAGAAAGCATATAATAAATTTTCAAGAGAAGTTTTCTGGAGAATTCTATAAAAGATTACACTTATATTTAAGTTGTTAAAAATATATATGTGGAAGTTGTTACTTGTGTTAAAAAATAAGGTGATTCAGAGTAGCTCCAGTTGAGAAGGAGTCCACGGATTCAGAGTAGTTTACTTTAGTCATCTATATATGATATTTATTGATTTAGAGAAAGCATATAATAAATTTTCAAGAGAAGTTTTCTGGAGAATTCTATAAAAGATTACACTTATATTTAAGTTGTTAAAAATATATATGTGGAAGTTGTTACTTGTGTTAAAAAATAAGGTGATTCAGAGTAGCTCCAGTTGAGAAGGAGTCCACGGATTCAGAGTAGTTTACTTTAGTCATAAGAACTTGTTTATTTCTTTGAATCTGTAATATTGAACAATATGTGATGTTTTTAGTTGGTTGTTGCTATTGAACAAATTCTTTTAATAAGTATTTAAGTTTTTGTGCATC